GACGATCCTAAAAAAAAAAAAATGACCAGGAAAATCAAATACCAAAAAATCACACACTCGAGAAGAGAATCGAGAGGCAAAGACTCCAGGCCAGCTAAGAGCTGTTGTTTTCTAGATGGTCGAACAAAAGGTGAACATGATTGTCGCGGAAGTCATCCGAGCGCTCGGCCCTACCGTGCTGCGCAATGCCCTCGGGAATACTCAGCAACGTTCCGGAGGCTCGTCGAGCGACGGTTCGACGGCGACCGCCGCGTCTCCATTCGCCGACTACGATGACGAATTCAATTCGACCAGCGATAACGGTTCCAAAGTGTCGATATCGTTGCCGACCTTCCCGCCGGACGACGACGACGAAGAAGCTGCGACCCAAGCAACGGTTGATACAACCAGCTCGACAATGGTGCCCGAGGACAGCACAACCGATGCTGTCAATACGGTCGAATGACCGTTTAATTGCTGTCGGATCGGTAACACGTTGGAGGTCAATGAACCTGAACGAAGATGTAACGATCCCGACAAGGACGATTCACCGCGCAATTGGGACAATGCTGCGGGACAAGCAACGCTCTGTCAAAACACGCTGTTTTATTGTCTGCTAACTACTGTACCTGCTATCTTCTATCTGTGTTGCGTGTGAATTTTATTACTCGTCTCGTTCTTTGTCGGTGCTACTCGCCTACTCTCTGTCACCTATTCTCGACATCGTCATTCTTCTCTGTGTGTTGTGATCGTTCCAAGGTAAACGAGGTGTGTTTGGTGTGTCTTTCCTGGTGCTTCTTCTTCTCTCTTCTTCTTTTTCTTCTAATTCTTCTTGGTCATTCATGTTTTTTTCTCAAGTCAAGCTTTCTGTCATGGTTGATCGTTTTTTTGGAAATTTCTGGTCAGCGAGTGGATCACTGTCGCTCGACGCTCGATCTCTATCGATCCTCTTGGTCGAGTAGCTTTTGTGTCATCGTCGTCGATGTTGCAGCTGTAGGTAGATCGTCAGGTGAGTTACCCCGTGTGAAGATCTGTAAGGTGTCTAGAAGAGACTGCGAGTGCTTGCACCTCGGAGACAACGCCGCTTCGACCAAGCATAGTTCCAGGAAACTTGTCGATCGTCCTCGAAATAATTTTGCCAATCATTGTTCTAATACAGCAGCGCTTCCACTTACGTTCACGTCGCTCTGGCAAGCGTCGTCGTGACCAAAGCAAACGATCAGCGCGTCCCGATCACGAGACATCGCGAGTACGCGCGTCGCACACGCTTCGTCTCCCTCTTCGAATCTGAACACGTTATCGTCGTTCGGTCGCCTATTTGTCACAGTTACACAGAGAGAGAGAGAGAAAAAAATCACCGCAGCTGTCGTGAATAATTCATCGCGAGACGTCGATTAACCGAAACGACCTAAACACACTTCAGCGTCCTTGCTTGCAATCCACAGATCCCTCTGTGTAATCGGTGTTTCTTGCTGGCGATCGAACGACACACTCGAACACACACACACGCTCGAAGAGGTCGACCGTGAACCGTTTCTTTCGCAGGACGTGAACCCGGAAGCGGAGGACAGGGTGAACGAGGTGGCAGCCGAGTCGCAGAACAACGAGGTGAAAGTTCAATTCGCCGACGAGCCGAACAGCAACGACGCGGCACCGTTGACACCGTTGGACGAGGCGGAAGGTGAAGACGACGAGAACAGAAACAAGAGGTTCCTCAACTTCGGCTTCGGAGGATCGGGAGGTTCCGGAAGCGGCGCCGGTTCTGGAAACTTCCTCTTCGACATAATCAGGGTGAGTTTGCCGCGGTGTCAGGAGGTGGTTCCTTCTTCTCTGCTTTTCCTTTCGACGTTGATTGAAGAGTGGAAATGTGTATGTAGAGTTTTTGTAATCGAAGTTGACGAAGGATGATAGTGTTGGGTTCCACGTTACTTTAGGACCAGACTTTATTTTATGGTAGATGAACGTTCGGTTTATTAGTGTTGGTATAAGAATTGGGTTTTTTTTCGATTTTCGGGTTATAATTATAGTGTATTCGGTGATTAGTTTCCTCGAGCCTTTATCCTGGTTGAGTAAGGCTGTGATGAAGTCCTTCCTAATCAAAGGTTAAGGGAATATTCTCGATTTGAATGCGACCTTTTAAGCAATCTTTAGGATTTTTTTTCAAGAGAACCGTTAAACTTTTTGCAGTATGGTTTTGCACATACATTTATGGGTATTTGAAATACATCGTATATTTTGTTGGAGTAAAAAGAATAAAAATTACGTGATTTATGGTTTGTTTTATAGAGTGCGCTAGAGAAAAAGTGTGTCGACTGTTTGCACGATTCCGGGCCTTCTGCTGATCTAAAGTAAAAACACGAGGAAGAATCTTAATCGGTATAAATCTAGCTATGGTGTGAACGAAAATAAAATACAAAATATCGATTATTCACGAAATGACAGCATTTCGAATTTACATTATCGATTTTTTCATATTTTGCCGTCTGTAGCGTGTCAAAAGAATAAGAAAACAGCGAGGGATGTTAAAAATTTTGGTTCACGTGATAACAGGATGTGCGCTGAAGATTCCCTGCAAATTTCAAGTCAATCGATAAACTGGAACTCGAGATATCGTGTAAAACGTTTCGAAAAACGCGTTCAAAGATTCATCTATCCATTTCGACTGCATCCTTCAAACCCTTACATCTAAGTTAATTTCAATGAATTCGAACAAATTCTCTTGCACACATCTTCTAGAACACTTACACTTTAAGAAAATGCAGAAAAAGGAATTGATTTTTCGAAAGTTCAAAACCAGAATACTTAACCCTTTGCGGTCCAGATAGTCCAGTTAGTCCTTACTCATTTGGTCACTCTCGGGCAATATCACGTAGTTTCCCTTCATTTCAATATTTCAGCGCAATACTAGTTATAAAATACTAAATTTCAGTATGATATTGTAGTATCAGGGCCTCCATACCTAAATAGGAAACCGAAGAGAAAAAATAGAGAAGGGGTAGTTGGCGTAGTGCGCTAAGCCTCGGCCTGCTAAACCGAGGGTCCCGAGTTCGATTCCCGGTTGGTCCCTCAAAATTTTTCCGTCGTTTCCTACAATTTTAATGCATAAAAAAATGATTCATTATCATTTATAATTCATCATCATGTGATATGTGAAGGGAAAAATTCTTACGTTGAGTCTGACTCTGAACATAGGACCGCAAAGGGTTTCTAAGACAGCCTCGAAAAAAGCATTGTGATTCGCAATGGTCGAAAGTTAAGTAATTACTGAAAGCGTAGTCATCCGACGATAGAATTTGAACGAGGCTGAGCTTCTTTCGCGCATTCGACGGCTAATGGAATCGATGTAAAGTAATTGATCTAAATTGATCTAATCGTCGGTAACGCAAGAATGGATCTAGAAGTACGTGAGCGGGTAGATTGTTTAATATTCAAGTAAGAGGCGAGCATAGCAAGCCGGCAAGGGCGCCTACTCGCGGCGTCGCGGTGAAAGTCTTCGACCGAATTGGCCAGCTGTGTCGTCTGGTTACTATTCCAAGGTTCCTGACCTAGGCACGACCCGTCCTCGTCGACGATATCAATCGAGAGATCGCGACGCAACACAATCCCCGCAAAAAAAAAAATGGGAAAAAATCGTGGATTCAGCTGCAAGAAAGAAATCCGTGACTTTATTCTTTTTTGTCCGTATTCCAGTCGTCGTTGGTAGCATTGCGAAATTACTTAGAAACTGAACTTTCGTAACCAGAGTATCAATTTTCACATTTTCACATTTTCAGTCGGTTAGAAGAATTTGAATTAATTAGAACGAAAAACGAACGTAGATCTAAAATAGGATATACGAGCAATTATTGCACGATTGCTCGTGTCCTACTCGAGCAGCTAATCTGAAAACACGCGTGTAGCACGTGACACCATTCATCCATTGTTCCCATGGAGCGAACCTACGCGATCGTAAGACTCGCGACCGATCGAAACTGGTCCACGTGTCGATCTCGTTTTACAGCGTCGAAAAAACTACCGTTCGTTTCCTCAAAAGCTCGCCTGATAGTGGAACACAACAGCCTCGATCCTTCGAATTACACCGTCTCGATCCTCCGTTCTTCAATCAAAAACCAAGCTAACCCTGGAAGAAACCTCAATTGCAATCATCTGAACGAGGAAGAACTGAAAGGTGAACGCACGTACCTATACATATATATCTAAATAATTCTGCAAGTTCGTTAGAGAACGAATTTCAGCAACTTTCCAGGCCACCAGTCCGCCCGAGCAGCATTCAACGACGATAGCAATGATCTACTACTAGGTGACAGGAGAGGAGTACTCGCGAGTCGTGCAAAAATGAGAAAGAGCAAAGCAAAAGAATGACAAAAAAAAAAAAGAATTGACAGGCGTACAACGGAGGAGCGGATCAGTAAACGAAAGTTCTCGTCTCTGTTCTCGTTTAGCAAGCGGCCGACGGGGCGGCAAGAGCGGCGGGCACGGTGTACCGCGTGGTGGCAGGTACGCAGAGCCTAGGGCTCGGCTTAAGCGCCTCTCGGGACTTGAGCCCGGTTCCCCAAGGTGCCGCCCCTGCTGCCGCTCCAGCTGGTTCCTCGTCCACGGCGGGATCCTCGACCAGTGCACCGGCCGCGTCAGAAGCCGGCAACCTACCACCGGTACGCCAATCCTTCCGAGCAGAGCCGAACAGACACTGCCAACTGCACTTCTCTTTCTTTCTCTCTCTCTCTCTCTCTGTCTGTCTGTTTCTTTCTTTTTTCCATGTCTTTTATCTCTGTCACACACCTGTCCACCAGGTGAACAAGAGAGCTGTACTGGTTTCCTGACGGCAATTTTCAGTGGTGCAACTGAATGTTGGTGAAGTGGAGACTGGTTCGTTTTCTGGTTCACTGTACGTTGCTGTATGTTGAGGCTTGGTGAGTGGACCTTTCCCTCTGGGAGTGTTTTTTTTCGAGACTGCAGTCGAGCACAGTTAAGAAGATGACATGAGATAAAGGGAGGAGTGAATTTGGTGTCTTCACTGTACGTTGCTGTATGTTGAGGCTTGGTGAGTGGACCTTTCCCTCTGGGAGTGTTTTTTTCGAGACTGCAGTCGAGCACAGTTAAGAAGATGACATGAGATAAAGGGAGGAGTGAATTTGGTGTCCAATGTTTGTGGATAAAAATGCTCTCGGGTCATTTTTCAGTACTCCAAAGTTTAACCCTTTCGTGATGAGTGATGTATGTCATATTTGAGTTGATCTGAATTTAGTGTCCATTGCAAAAGGCGATGTTTGATATATAAATTTTTGAAAAGAGTAAGTTTCCAAATTTGGTGTCCAATGTTTATGGAGCTCAGTACTCAAAGGGTTAACACTTTCGTGACTTGGGGTACCCCAAGAAAACTTGATCTGAATTTAGTGTCCATTACAAACGCGATGATCGGTAGAAGAATTTTTGAAAATAATAAGTTTCCAAATTTGGTATTCGATGTTTATGGAGTGTTCAGTACTGAAAGGGTTGACCGGTAGCTTTTCTAACCAATGGAACGTATATGTCAGACTTGAGCACTCCAAGAAAAATTGATCTGAATTTACGCAATGATGGGTAGATAAATTCTTAAAAAATATAAGTCTCTAAATACGGTATGGAATATTTATAGAGCTTTCGTGAGCAGCGGTAAGCACTTCACTTGAGTACTCGAAGGAAAATTGATCAACAATTTAATATTCACTGCAAAGTGACGATCAGATAAATTCTTGGCATCGAATATTTATGGGGTGTTCAGAACTCAAAGGGTTAACCCTTTCGTGACCAGTGGAACGCATACGTCCCACTTGAGTACTCGAAGAAAAATTGCTCTGAATTTAATATCTATTACAAAGGCAACGATCGGTAGATAAATTTCGTTAAATTCTTGAAAAAAAATAAGCCTCCAAATTTGGTATGGAATATTTATGGAGTGTTCAGAATTCAAAAGGTTAACCCTTTCGTTGCCAATGGGACACACGTGTCTCACTCGAGTACTCAAACAAAAATCGATCCAAATTTAGTATCCACTACAAACAACAAATTCGTCAATAACGAAAGGGTTAAGTATCAGTCACCCTCTCGAAAGAAACACTCGCCACGTAAGCTGATACGTTTAACAGCACCCGGTTCTCTCGGTACATTAACACAAAGCACCCGGCTCTGTTTGATCTGCATGCCGTACTCCTCGCACGTGGCTAACAGTGACTCGCCTAGCACGTTTCTCTTCGTTTGTTCTTCGCCTCCCGTTTACCTAACCACTCGAACGTGTCTCATCTCTGGTCTCTCTCTCTCTCTCTCTTTCTCTGTCTGTTCTCTCTTCTCCGTTCAGTCAGCTTGAATTCCCGGTATTTCTACTTCTTCTTCCTCGATTCGATTCTAGCATGTCTCACGCGCCAGCATCTCTCTTCACCTTTATTTTTCTCTCAAAAAACATTCACCGTGAAAATGATTCCAGGAGATGATGCCTGGCGCGTGATTCCTGCAGCGTGCGTCGATCTATCATGGTCCAGCGTATAGGATCATCGTATGTCACTAACCAACCCCTGTTTTCGTTCGTCCTGTGCTCCCAATTTCGAGCGACTAAAAGAAGTTATTCTCGCAGAAAAGTATAAAGCAATATAAATACTATTAAATAAATTTCTCTCGCACAGAAGATAAATTTGGACATTGATTAAATCTTGCTAATCTTCTAGTTACTCGAAGACCATAATTAACACAGTTCATCGTTACATCTTCCTTACTAAAAAAAAATCATTGACAATCGTCGTTTGAGAGTGATCCTTTCTTCCAAATCGGGACAAGTATCGAGTGGCCCTGTACGTTCCTCGGTTCTTCTATGTCCAAACCAACCTGTATGTCCAATCGTTCCACCCGGCCAACGGTCCCGACGCGACACCGCCAACCAGCGACTAAAGACTTTCGGCGAAGCAACTGGCTGATGGACCATCCAGGCCGATTCTCAGCTCGGAATCTCTCAGGGCAGCCATTGATCGTATTGCCGATTCTCTCGTTGTTGTGATCTCGTACTCGTCCATTGCACACACGTTGTATGCCGTTAGCTGTAGATCTCGTTCGTTGCTGCTGGGAAACGCACCGATAGCAACGTGATATACCAAACGACTCGGTTGAGGAAGTGGTGGACGAAGAGATCCTCGGTTTTCAGATCTCTTCGTTAGGGAGAACGAGAGATTTTCGTTCGAAGAGATCTCTTCTTTAGGGAAATAAGAGATTTTTGTTCGAAATGATCTCTTCTTTGGGGAGAGAAGAGATTTTCGTTCGAAAATATCTGGAGGAAACAGATTTGTTTTCAGTGATTTGAAGATCTCTTCTTTGGGGAGAATAAGAGATTTTCGTTCGAAATGATCTCTTCTTTGGGGAGAGTAAGAGATTTTCGTTCGAAGAGATCTCTTCTTTAGGGAAATAAGAGATTTTTGTTCGAAATGATCTCTTCTTTGGGGAGAGTAAGAGATTTTCGTTCGAAGAGATCTCTTCTG